CGTCGACCCTTTCGGCCATTTTGGGCGACTTCTTGAGCCACGCGTTATGACAATCAGCGCAATCAAAGGGCTGTCCTTTCATACCAATCTTATTGCCCTCATCCAGCTTTAGGAACGGGTGGAACACATTCTCCTCCAGAACCTTCATTTGCTTGAAGTCCATGTCGTGGTCCATATGATCGCCGGAGAAGTCAATCTCCGCCGGGCGGCCAATACTCATGAAAGCCAACGGATCCATACCCGTGGCCGTGAGCTTCGGGTTCCGGTACAGTAAGATCTCAATGGGAATCTCCGACTTCTTGCTGAACACAAACACATTCTTCGGGATCTGTGCGATGGATGTGTCGGTGATGTGCACTTCGGTCAACGCGTTTAGATTGTAAAACGCTTTGTCCGCTATTTTGGTAATCTCTGTGCCGTTGATCGCTAGGTATACAATCGATCCGGACTGTCCGCCGAACGCCATCGACGGTATTTCCTTTAGACCTACCAATAGTTTTCAATTATAATGTTGTCATATATACAAAACTTTTGCCATCCCTTCTGTTCCCCCACCCCTATAGGTGTAAAACTCATACCCATGTGTCCGATGCAAACGACGGCCACCTTTTGAAACTTATTGACCAAATCAAAGGACACGGCGGGAGTGGCGGCCAATTTGGGCAGATTATAGAGCGTGACTTCTTGGGTGAATGTGTCGGTGCCGGCGAACGCATTCTTGTGTATTGTCTTCAAATTGGGACAATTCTGGATCGATATGCGCTTGAAATAGATGTCGCCGAACACGGCCTCCGGTATGTCCGTAACGCCCGGACCCTCTATCACAATGGCCTCCAACTCCTTGTCGTCGTCTTTTAGTGTTTTGGCGTATTTGGCGAATATCTCCTTCATATTGGCCACCGGTTTGTCACCGCATCGGAACACCTCATCGCCAGAACAGGTGCACGGCTTCAGTACATCGCCGTACGGGCACTCGTGTCCGGCCGATGGCCACACAGATAGTATGGCCGTCAGTCCGATGATTGCAAGACCTGTTTGTGCGTTAATAACGAGGTAATAATAGTTAGTTTTTAATTGTTACTTACTTTTTGCAATAAGTTTATTCATTGTTTTATGTGTTGGTATTATAGAAATGTTTTATGTGTGTAATAAAAGTAGTAAAATATTTTTGATAAATTATATTGAGATTGTTTTTGTTGTATTTAATTGTTATAATTTTTATTAACTATTTAAAACACCTGTTATATCGATCATTAGTTTTTTAATTATGGTATTGATTATTGAGATTTCATTAAAATATTTGTTTTAATTAGCAAATTGTTTTTTCTGTGGATTTTTATGTTTTATTATTGTAATCATATATCATTAACATATAATATTTGTAATGTATAAACAGAGTTAAATAATTTAGGAAATTTTAAAAATAATTAAAATTAATTAAATTTTAAATAGTTGATTAATATTTTCTAGTTAATGTTAGTGTAAATATAAAGTTTATGAATAACTTTATGTAACACATTCTAATACTTAATACAGAAAATTAATACAAATTAATATTAATTTATTAAAAACTTTAGTAATAGACCAACATACTCTCCCACGCAATCTCTACTGCTTTGTAAACAAAAACTATTATACAGTATTTACAACCATTGGCAAATAATCTAGCTACTTCAAAGTTTATTTATTACGATTTATTGAAAATTATTGTAAATTTATTGAATAGTGTATACACTGTACGTCTGGGATGAGAATAAAATTCAACACAATTTGATTTATTTTAACTTATTATTACAAAATATCATTTTGACACATTTACATAGGTTTATTTGCATAGGTTATATTAGCAAGAGTAAAACGTAATTGCCCAAATTTTTTGTGTGAGTTTGAAATCATTTAAAAAAAACAAAGCGAACGTTTAGAAAATTAATTGATGTAAAGTGAATAAAATTATTATATGTTGAGAGTATTTTATGACAAAGATTATTTTAGCGACAATAGTTTGCACACAAAATCTCATATAATATTTTCTCAATTACAAATAATTAATATAAGTTATAAACAAAAAACAATTTAATTAATTCATTGACAAAGTAATAAATACTAAATTAAAATTTAAAGTTGTATTTTATATTTTAATCCATATTAAAAATTTTACGTAATTATATTTTTTAGATAAAAACAATGTACAGTATATCCATTTTGTGCTTTTTCAACTTAATTCATTGTGCTTAAATTGCAATAAAATTCACCATCAAATCATTACCCCTTCAACCATGCACCTAGTTTACCCACAACTTTTTTGTGTAGTTTATGATCCTTTCTGAGCCAAGCATTACGATTATCATTGATTAAAAGCCGGGTTGGGTCCGCATAATGTAGAAAATTACCCTTCTGTACCGATAAAAATGGTTTAAAAATAGTCTCGCTCAAATATTTCCACTGATACGGGTTTTTGCTGTACGGAACCAGAGATATACCGGTTGGTCTGCCCAATGATGTCAGGGAATCGGCATCAAAGCTGGCGCTGGACAGCAAGTGATTTTCCATTAGGGTTATGTGCAAAGGGATGTCGTAATTAATGCTAAATACGAGTACATCGCGGGGTATCCGTGCGATAGACGTGTCCTTAAACGTCAATAGTTTCAACGAGTTTAACGCCAAGAAAGGCTTTTCGCCAATTGTTTTTAGTTTAGTATCCGTTATTGAAAGCATAGTTAAATGTTTCAATGGGCCGAACGCCTGGCCAGGGATGGACTCGATGTTCATTTCAGTTAATGATATAAGCCTAATGTTGACAAACTTATTGATGATGGTAAATATATTTGTCGAGTCCAGTGATGGACAGTAGGATAGGACGAGATGAGTGGTGACGGTGTCGGTGCCGGCGAACGCATTCTCGTGTATTGTCTTAAGGTTTTGGGCGCCCATAAGCCATATACCGTTGAACGTTAGGTCTTTAAACGTATTTGCGCTCATTTCGGTCAACTTATTGGGCATGAAATGTAAAAGTTTGTAGTGATTGCTGCCATTCGCGGACGTGAGAGCCGTCACAATAGCGCTCAATTCAAACTCCTGGTCGCCATCGCATACCACAAGATTTTGCCGGTGAAGACATGTGCACGGCTTGAGTGCCGCCTCCGCCGGACACCGTTGTATAGCCCGTGAATGCGGTTTTGGTTTACTCGTCACAATGGACTTCGTTGTAACCTCGTTGGACTGTATCTCTACTTTCACTGTATTGGTCGGTTCGTCCGTATCCTTTATTTCAGTGTCACATATGATTATGTTTGTTAAAACACATGATAACACAATCAATACATAACCTGTTAATTGTAATAATATTTATAACTCAATTAATGTTCACATATTAATTAATTATGATTACATACCCCGCATAATGAAAGTTGCAATTTTAAATGTGTAAAATGATATATTTTTAATTGTAACGAAATTTTTATTTTATTTGAACTCGTACATTTACAGTATAATTTACATTACATTTACATTTTAATTGATTTTTTGTTCACCTGTTTGAAAATACAGTCTATTATTTAATACATAAATTCTTTGTTATAATTACTTTTGCTAAACATTGTGCTACACATGCAATTTTTTGATAAAAACTAAACAGTTTCAATAAAATTTAGAACAAATAAAATTCAAAACCTAGGTGCAATTATAGAATAATTGCATATGATCAAAACAATAAACTATTAAATTTTTCATTGCATTTATTTAATAATTCAAAATATGAATTTACATAAACTAATTTACAAAGACTTTAAATACCTGAAGACTTGGCATATGTATTATCAAACAATTTTCGGAATAGTTTAGTATTATTTTTAAGCCAATTATTGCGCTTATCATTGATTAAAAGACCGGCGGGTCTTAAAAGGTGGACAAAATTAAGCCTATTTGACATGAGAAAGGGCTTGAAAACACTTTCGCTCAAATACTTCCACTGATACGGGTTTTTGCTATAGGGATACAGAGATATACCGGTAGGTCTGCCGACTGTGGTCAGGGAGTTGGCCTCAAAGCTGGCGCTGGACAACAGGGGGTTCTCCCAAAAAGTCATGTATAGGGGTCTACTGTAATCAATGCTAAACACGAGTACATCCCGTGGTATCAGCGAAACTGCCGTCTCTTTTAACAGCAAATACCGCAAAGAACTTAACGCTAGGAAAGCCTTTTCGCCGATAGTTTTCAGTTTGCTGTCGATTAGTGACAATCGGCGCAAATGTTTCAATGGGCCGAACGCCTGGCCAGGAATGGACTCTATGTTCAGCTCCTTTAATGTAAGTGACGTAACATTTATAAACTTATTTATGATAATAAATATATTTGTCGAGTCCAGAGATGAACAGTAGGATAAGACGAGATGAGTGGTGACGGTGTCGGTGCCGGTGAACGCCTTGTCGTGGATTGTCTTAAGACTTTGTGCGCCCATAAGCCATATACTATTAAACGTTAGGCCTTTGAACGTATTTTCGGTCAATTCGGTCAACTTATTGGGCATAAAATGTATGCTCCGGTAGTGATCGCTACCATTCCTTGTTGACAGAGCCGTCACAATAGCACTCAATTCAAACTCCTGGTCGCCATCGCATACCACACGACTCCGACGACTATTACATGTGCACGGCTTGAGCGCATCCGTGTCTACGGGACAGCTTTGGATAGTCCGGGCATTTAATGTGCGATTTGCTGTTATAGCATACGTGTCGTTATCCATAAGCCGAGTGCGGACTGTAGTGTCCGGATCATCGCTGTCCCGGATAACAGTGTCGCAAATGATCATGTTTGTTGACCAACATATTAATATAATCGTTAATATTCCTGATGATTTAAATTAGAAATTTATAAATTTAAATAATAATAGCAACTTTATTAATTAAAAACTTGCCTGAGTAATTAATATCTGACATGTTATATTTGAGGAATAAAGTAAAATGATAATATTTTACTCATGTTGACCATTTTATACAAGTATTATATAATAGAAATTAATAATTTAAGGTGAATTTGATTTAACAATCATATTCAGTTTATGATTTATTATATAAATCTTTTGTTATTATTATTGATACAGTAATATAGATATGACATTTAAATGAAAAATAAAATAACGCTTACAAACAATTAAATATGAACATAAATTTGAGATTTATGTATTTAATATATTTATCATATAATCAATAGATCATCAATGATTTCAATGTGAATAAATAATCAATTGATTATTGTCAAATTTTTTAATAAAAAATAATAAAACTTGTATTTAAAATTATATATCAAACTTGACATAAATAAACTACAGTATATTACATATTACTGTACTTTACACTAGTACAAACTTATTGTATTAAGAAATATTGTAAACTTATACTAACACTCAATTTGTTTAACTTTATTATCAAAATCAATCCAAAGTAATCTCTTAATGAAATTAGGATTAAGCCATTTATTGCGGACATCACCGCAAAGAATAGCCGAATGGCCTAAGAATAGCACTTTATTGCCATCATTGGCCGCGAAGAACGGTTTGAACGCCTTTTCGGCCAAATATTTCCACTGCCGAGAGTTCTTAAAGGTATGATTGATGTATATTATGGTAGGTCTAGCCAATTGGCTCAGGCTATCGGCCCCGAGACCAGTGTTGTTCAGCCATTCATTCTTTTGTAGTGTTAGCCGAAGAGTAAGATTACTGTCGGCACTAAAAACGAGGACACCTTTCGGCAAACTGGCGACCGATGTCTGACTTAACTCTAGTTTTTGCAACGAATTTAACGCCGCGAACGGCTTATCGCCGATTGTCTTCAGTCGGGAGTCGTATATAGTTATTGTATGCAATCGTGTGAGTCGTGCGAAAGCACCGGACGGTATGGCCACCAAATTGATCTCTTTCAACGCCACAGTGTCTACCATAACAAATTTGTTTACAATCGTGAATATATTGTCGGTGTTGAGCACCGGGCAGTTCCGGAGTTCAAACTGTTTTACCACAGCATCCATGCCGTGAAATGCGTTCACATTGATGCTTTTGAGCTGCTCGGCGCCCATCAGCCACAATACGGCGGCCGTAATGTCTTTGAATAGATTTTCGCTCAATTCGGTCAAAGTGTTGGCCGTAAACTCGAACCGATTGAAGTGTTTGCTTTGGTTTTGGCCGTAACTATCGCTCAATGAGCCGATGATTGCCTTCAAGTCGTACTCCTGTTCCTCATCGCAAGTGATGTGACTTTTATGACAAATACACGGTTTGATCGCATCCCCGACCGGACAGTCCGCTAACGATAGGCTCGTTGTGTTGCATAATATGTGTGGCATAAAGGCATAGATGATTGAGATTATGATATATTTACCTGTTATATAAAGATTATTTATTTTATTTGATAAAATTATCATTAAATAATAATTATATCTGTTTTTACCTTGATTAATAGTTACAAACATTGTTTAATAATTAAGGTTCTTTATTTTAAAATAATAATTACTTGTTTAATTGTTTTGTAATTAACATAAAGGATATGATATTGGAAAACAGTTTAATTCGCATTTAATTAAAAGTTGTTTATTCAGTTGTAATATCCTATGATTTATTTACTCATTATGATTAATTGAAATAGATTATAGATTATTTAAATTGTTGAAATAAACACTATCCTTACGAGAGAATTATGGTTATAATCTATAATTTATAAATTGTATAAATATTGTAGTAATCGGACCGAAAGCCTGAGTTTCTTATAGTAACTAATTTAACATTACTTGGCATTTAGTTAAACACCAAAATATTTTTATCATATAAAAGAATCAATGGTTTAAATATTCATTAATTAAGAAATGCATAATTTTATTAGATTATAATTTATAGTCTATAAACATGCTAACATAAGTTACACAATAATGTCATAACATTTTCAATATTGGACTGGGAGTCCAACTTTAACTCAGGACATTTGGCAATTATTTCTGATAACTTGAATTACAACAATTTGTTTATACTTAAGTTTCCGTTCTACAATATAATTAGGACTAACAAATCGTAGTTATTATTTATTAACAAAACAATTATACAGTTTATAAAGTTCTTTGCATTGAGCCAACTTAATAAATGTACTTATAGTTAAATGTACTAAATGTACTTTAGTTAAAATCACAGCTATTATAATTATAAACTAAATTACAATAATTTTTGTCATACATCTTGTCATACAATTGAAATAAATAGTGATTATTTGGTGAATATAATGCTCTCTCGTATTAAATATGTGGTTATTATCTATAACCTGTTGTATTGGTTGCTGGGAGTGGTAATCCTGGGTCTATCGGCGTACCTATGGTGGTGCTCACAGGATTACCTCAATCTGAACGAAATGTGCCGATACTATGTCATACCATTGATCGCAATGTTAATACTGGGAGGTGTGATGACAATCATGGGCTTTATTGGCTGTTGTGGTGCCCGAAGAGAGTCCTCTTGTCTTATCCGAACCGTATGTATACATATATCACATAATATTTTGAGACACTTATTGGCAAAATTGTATTATTGAGACAAAATGTAATAGTGATTGAATTTTGCAGTATTTCCTATTGTGTGCCATAACTTGT